TCAGCTTGCCACATAACATCGCGCCACATCGGAAGCTACGGGATACTCGAGAAGTTCTGTTAATGGCACGAATGAGAACTGTGAATGCTGTCACAGGACAACGTTGTACGACACTTGACACCACATCGTCAATGGTACCCGCAGGAGCTTCAACTCTTTGCCTAGCTCAACAGCCCCTCATCTGTTGCCCCGCGCCGAGCGGTCACGACAGCTTGGTCGGGCTGTGCTCGCTTAATTAACCAACTCGGGCACTTCGAGCACCGAAAGCAAGCGCCACGGAAGGTCCCTGACACTACCCAGTAGTGACTCCGTTACCGCAGTCGCCCAGCGACATATGAACCCCACACGTTTCCCAACTGGGTGTTACAGTACAGGGCCAAACATTCGTGACACCTTGCCTCAAGGGCACACGACCGGAGTTGCACCGCAAGACACCGCCTTTGTCTCCTCAACTGACTTCCTTCAAGTTTGAGTAGAGCTTGGTTCATCTCTATTCTACCCATACCCCCCATCTTCTTTTATCTCGATCCTCCTAGGTGAGTGTTCTGATTCGATGTTTCTGTTGCACTAGACTCTCTGCACACCAATTCTTGCTTCGCGTACCTCTTAAGGTGCTTGCATCTCTTGGGGGTTGCACACGCCATGCCTGATGACACCATTGCTCGATGCGAGTGACATGTATTAGCAAAACATGGCTTCTTCTTTAAAACTCTGTATCATCGTCGTCTCTTTCTCCATGGCGCAATATTGAAGAGACGGATGATCATGATCGTTGCCGTGCCCACTACCAACACTTGCTCTTGGGCTTATATCCAGATCACCTTTTTAGCTTGGCAGTGCCGCTCATCGATGATGGCTTGCATGGAAGCAATTTACTAACGCCAAGTCCTTGGAACAGTCTTCTTCCGCCCGCCTCGGTACATCATGTCAAAGGTATTCGTCGGCAATGTCAAGAGTGTGTTGAGTGGTGACACACTGATCTTGACAAGCCCCAACAATCCCTCGGCCGAACGAAACTTCTCGCTCGCATATGTCACCGCCCCCCATTTGAGGCGAGAGGGAGATGAGCCATTTGCTTTCCAGTCCCGCGAATATCTTCGTAACCTAGTTGTCGGCAAGCCGATTCAATGCACAATTCAATACACCATCCCCAACTCTGGCCGAGAGTTTGGCACGGCCAAGTTGAAGGATGGTGGCGAGTTGCCCGACGAACTGGTCAAGGCTGGCTGGTTAAAGGTCCGTGAGGATGCCGGCCGCAAGGAAGAAAACGAAGAGGTCTTGGAGCGTCTCGAAAAGCTCCGTGGCTATGAATCGGAGGCCAAGGCCGAGGGCAAGGGTCTTTGGGCTGGCACCGGTGGTGTTATTGAGGTCCAGAATGACCTTGGTGGACCTGAGTTTATGAAGGAGTGGAAAGGCAAGACTGTGGATGGTGTAGTTGAACGGGTACTCAGTGGCGACCGACTCCTTGTGAGACTCTTGCTCTCAGAGAAGAAGCATGTGCAGCCCATGACCCTCATTGCTGGCATCCGTACGCCTGCTACGGAGAGAACAGTCCCATCCACTGGTACTACCCAGCCGGCTGAAGAATTCGGAAACGAGGCTAGGCAATTCGTTGAATCTCGCCTGTTGCAGAGACAGGTCAAGGTTGAGATTGTCGGTGCCAGCCCTCAAGGGCAGCTGGTTGCCAGCATTATCCATCCTCGCGGCAACATTGCCGAGTTCTTGCTGCAGGATGGTTTGGCTCGATGCAACGACTTTCACTCCACCATGCTGGGCGAGAAAATGGCTGCGCTTCGGTCTGCCGAAAAGCAGGCCCAGTCGAAGAAGCTACGACTCCACAAGCACCACGTCGCAAAGGCGGTTGGCGACAACCAGGAGATGACGGTTAGCAAAATCGTTGGTGCTGATACAATTTTTGTGAAGAACAAGGCCGGAGCGGAGAAGAGAATTAGCTTCAGCAGCATTCGTGGTCCCCGAACCAACGAGGCTAGTGAGAGCCCATTCAGAGAAGAAGCCAAGGAATTTTTGCGACAGAAATTGATTGGAAAGCATGTAAAGATCAGCATTGACGGAAAGAAGCCCGCGTCTGAGGGCTTCGAGGCCAAGGAGGTGGCTACGGTCACCGAGAAGGGGAAAAATATTGCCCTGATGTTGGTCGAGGCAGGATGGGCATCAGTCATTCGCCACAGAAAGGACGATACCGACAGAGCCTCTAATTACGACGAGCTTCTCGCAGCTCAGGAGAAGGCCAAGGAAGAGCTGAAGGGTATGTGGTCTGGCAAGCCTCAGAAGGCAAAACAGTACACAGATCTATCAGAGAACGCTCAAAAGGCCAAGATTATGCTCGCCACGCTGCAAAGACAGAAGAAGGTTCCTGCGATTGTTGATTTCTGCAAGGCTGGCTCCCGATTTACGGTCCTTATTCCCCGGGAGAATGTGAAGCTTACGATGGTTCTTGGTGGCATCCGGGCTCCGCGGGCTCCTCGCGCCGATGGGGAAGGCGGCGAGCCGTTTGGCAAGGAGGCTCTGGATCTGGCAAACCGACGATGCAATCAACGAGACTGCGAGGTCGACATTCACGACATGGACAAGGTTGGTGGGTTCATTGGCGCTCTTTACATCAACCGCGAGAACTTTGCCAAGATATTGGTAGAGGAAGGTTTAGCTTCTGTTCATGCATACTCTGCTGAGAAGTCTGGAAACTCGACGGAGCTGTTTGCCGCCGAGAAGAAGGCCAAGGAGGCTCGAAAGGGACTGTGGCACGACTATGACCCTTCGCAAGAGGAGGCTGATGAGGAAGAGGAGACTACCGAGGAGACTCCTGCTGAGTCAGAGGTGTCGCTAGACAAGAAGCCTACGGACTACCGCGATGTTATGATAACCAATATTGATGGAAACGGCAAGATCAAGATCCAGGAAATTGGCAAAGGTACTGCTGCTCTGGAGACGATGATGAACGAGTTCAGAAAGTTCCACCTCGACTCCAAGAACAATAAGCCCTTGGGCGATGCCCCCAAAACTGGAGACTTTGTTTCTGCCAAATTCTCCGCCGACGGACAATGGTACCGAGCTCGAGTCCGGTCCAACGACCGCACTGCCAAGGTGGCTGAAGTCCAATATGTCGACTACGGAAACACCGAGAAGATTCCTTGGTCCGACCTTCGAGGCCTTGATCACGGCCAGTTTGGTATTCAGAAACTCAAGGCTCAGGCTATTGATGCCTCTTTATCCTTTGTCCAGCTCCCCACTGGTGCTGATTACTTTAATGAGGCTATCGGCGTCATTGCTGAGATGACGGAGGGCAAGCGACTGGTGGGCAGCTTCGACATTGTGGACACCAAGGAGAATGTGAGCTACATTACGCTGTACGATCCCAAGTCGAACAATGAATTGCCCGGCTTGAATGATTCGATCAATAAGGAGGTTGTTGCCAGCGGTTACGGCATGGTTCCCAAGAAACTGAAGGCTTGGGAGCGGAGCAAGGCATTTGAATCGTACTTGAAGCACCTCAAAGAGGTTGAGAGCCAGGCCAAACAAGATCGTCTGGGCATGTGGGAGTATGGTGATATTACCGAAGATTAGACGGATGACTAGGTGGGTGGAACTATCTACGGATGGCGCGAGTGGACGATGAATAGGGAAGGCATGATATAACGAATACAAAAGTCATCAGGCATAAAGGGGTATTTATTCCAAGATGTTAGTTAGCGTTCTTGAATCAAAAATGAAGACGTTGTTGGTTGTGGGCGGCTATTGAGTTGCATTCACCAGTCTACAAGTGTATAAATGGTGATATGGCAGCGAGTACAATTATGATGTCCTTGTAGGAAGATGTTATACGGTCATGATGTACTTGGCACTTAGGTAGAGGTACGTCGTTGGCAAGGAACAAAATAGCACGCAGGTGCGTTTGTTCAAAAATAGAAAGTAAAAGAAAATCATTGCACCCAACGGTTAGGAGTTGACAGCGGCCCAAATAACGTCGAGCCAAGTGAAGAGGTCCAGCTGTCATGTGCATCACGTCTCCGCTGGAATCTCCGGGTGTGAGGCTGCAGTAGAGAGTGAGAGGCTCGGCTGAGTCGTGATGTGCGCTAGGACAACGTGTCATAACATGCTATGTAACTGCAATTGGCCATCAAGAGATGGCATATGTATGCCTAAATGAAGTAAGTTGTGATTGGTTGTGTTCCGGCCGGTTGTCGATGATGTTACCCGGTCGTCGGTGGAGCCGAAAAAGGCGGGCCGGAGCACAGGAGTCCGGGACTGGAGACTGGCGGGCAGCTGGTGAAACTGGTCTGTTCTGGTGGGACATGGCTGGACATTGTGCTGGGGAAGCTGACAAAGAGATGACCTGATGGTTAAGAAGCACTTGAGCGCGTTAGTCAACAGCCGCCTAGGAAACTAGAGAGTTGTTGGTGCTGTTGGGGGGGCCGCCGGAGTTGCAGGAGCAGGAGCAGGACCCCGCCATTGCCGGATGGAGGGGTGCAAGCCGAGCCAAGGACAGGCATGGAGAGCACTGAGTCCAGTCGGTCGGTCGGTCCATGTCGGCACCTGGAGGTCCATCAGGAGCGCACGCCAACAGAGCAACGCCTTCAATTCGCAGAAAGCCATCTCGTGCATTAATGGCCCAATGCCTGGATTGGCTGCAGAAACAACAGGGACAGGAAGGAAAAAAAAAAGAGGCGCACCCCCCATCGCAGGTTCGTCCAGATAGTCTCCATACTGCCATCCAACTTGGTGCCATGGTGTTGGCTGCTGCTAGCAGGTTGCACGCAGCGTCCGAACGGCGGCGACGGATGGCCCAGCATTATCCACCCATTATATCATCATTTCGAAACCTTCTGCTCCCGACTTTCGCCATCCTCTTGCTACAAAAAGTCACGGCGTCCCACTTTACACTTCGACTTTGTTTTTGAGTTCCCCCTCGTCGTCTCTTGTCCCTATTTTTTGTAAAGTGAAGACTCATTGCACACATTCCACGTTTTACGCCATAGCCCAACATGTCCAACTCTCTCGATCAGCTCAAGGCCACTGGCACCGTAAGTCTGGGAAAAACCACCCCCACCATTTTTGCCCCTCCTTCTGCGACGCAATGAGGAGCTCTCGACGGCGGTGGAAGCTCTGCCTGCGAGTGCTTGCTGAGAGGGAATGAAGGCGTGCTTTTCCAAATAACGGATGGGAGCACGTCTTTGAAATCTTGCTCGAGACTCTGATCTGTCAAGGACTGACAAGGCTGACTTTTCTTTTTCGCTTTCGTTAGGTCGTCGTGTCTGATTCTGGTAAATTCCCGCACGAGCCGACACCCCGCGTGGTATTTTTTGAAATGTTCAAGCTAACGGTTTTCTTGTGCAGGCGACTTTGCCTGTTAGTATATTCCATTTCTCGACCGGCTGTGCGGTTATTCGATTCTTCTTCTTCTCCTTTCTGTTCAGCCGGAGAAGAAGGAGAAACTCATACACCGGCCATCCCCGTTGCTCGAATTGCAAACAACTAACTCGTTTGGAAACAGCTATCGCCAAGTACAAGCCCCAGGATGCCACCACCAACCCTTCGCTCATCTTGGCTGCCTCCAAGAAGGCCGAGTACGCCAAGTTGATGGACGTGGCCGTCGAGTACGGCAAGAAGAAGGGTGGCGACATCGACTCGCAGGTCGACAACGCCCTGGACCGCCTCCTCGTCGAGTTTGGCAAGGAGATTCTCAAGATTGTCCCTGGCAAGGTCTCTACCGAGGTGGACGCTCGCCTCTCTTTTGACACCAAGGCCTCTGTCGACAAGGCCCTGCACATCATTGACGTATGTATAGTTATTGTTGTTATTCTTCCTCGCCTCCTGGATACTGCATGCATGCTAACGCTCTCACCCCTTGCAGCTCTACAAGGAGCAGGGCATCTCCAAGGACCGCGTCCTCATCAAGGTCGCCTCCACATGGGAGGGCATCAAGGCCGCCGAGATCCTCCAGCGAGACCACGGCATCAACTGCAACCTGACGCTCATGTTCTCGCTACCGCAGGCCATTGGCGCCGCCGAGGCCGGCGCCTACCTCATCTCCCCCTTTGTCGGCCGCATCCTCGACTGGTTCAAGGCCCACAACAAGAAGGAGTACGCCAAGGAGGAGGATCCTGGCGTCGCCTCCGTCAAGAGCATCTACCAGTACTACAAGAAGTTTGGCTACAAGACCATTGTCATGGGCGCCTCGTTCCGTAGCACCGGTGAGATTACTGAGCTCGCTGGATGCGACTACCTCACCATCTCTGTACGTTTTGAAACCCCCCTGTTTCTGGCACCGAAATACCCCCTGTCTTTTGTTTCGCTTTGCTAACCCCTTCTCGCAGCCCAATCTCCTCGAGGAGCTCATGAACAGCTCCGAAGCCGTCCCCAAGAAGCTCGACGCCTCGCAGGCCGCCTCTGCCAACATCGAGCGCAAGTCGTACCTCAAGGACGAGGCTCTCTTCCGATTCGACTTCAACGAGGACCAGATGGCTGTTGAGAAGCTGCGCGAGGGCATTAGCAAGTTTGCCGCTGACGCCGTGACCCTCAAGGATATCCTCAAGCAGAAGCTTGCCTAGGCTTCTTTTTTGTAACGGTTGCAAGAAATTGCAGAAGAACAAATTAATGATGATGAATGCGTGCGGCGCGGGCGCGTGCGCGTGCGAGGTGGGAAACAGATACTACAAATGGTAACCGAAAAAAAAAAATGACGTCATTTTGAAGGCGTTTTGGTTTTGTGAGATTGTCGTCTTGCAGGCAGATTGAGGAATAATACACTGAATACTGTCATTTGTTGGTGGTGCGAGGTGGTTTTGGCCATCATTACCAAGGAGTGCTGTCGACTGTGTCGTGGGCGTGTGTATGTTAGCCATCGCCATGAGATGATGGGCATGCTGTGATTGTTGTTGTAGAGTACATGGTTTCTCGCACTGTTTACATAAACCTCACGCTTAGACTTGTCGTACAACGGGTCCAATATGATGGTATTCGTATAATGACTTGCATTATACCGTGGTCTAACAGTGCTCTAATGTAATGAAATTGGTATCAAGTAGGGTATCAAACTCCAACAATATCGTCTCATCCTCGCCATCGCCACGCAGGGGCATACAACCCCAACCCCAACCCCTCTTATGTCGTGTTGCTTCAAGCAGCTTTGCAGGGGACCTGGATCTTGTCGTAGGAAATTCCGCCGCGGGCCCTGGCCCTGACAATCAGGCCCGTCAAGTGGCCGCCCGCGGCGCACCCCGAGTCCAGACCAACGGTGTACCGGCCCTCGGTGAAGCCCCTTTTCGCGTCGTGCCCGTACATGACGGTCCGGCGGTGGCTCTTCTTGACAAATTTCCGCTGGTACTTGTTCCACGCCTTGTCCCATCTCTGGCCGGAGTGGTCGTCGATGGGTATGGGAACGACTTTTTGCGCCGGCGTCACCTCGCTGCCCTCGTCGTCGTCGTCGTCGTCGTATTCGTCTTCGTCTTCGGGCTCGGCCTGCGCGCTAGAATGGCCGTCACGTCGCCTAAGTTCGTCGTCTTGGGAGTACCTCAGCGTGCGCATGTTCATGACGGCCCAGGGGTCCTGCTTGTCCAGCTTGACGCCGGGCACGAGGCCGCCGTGGACAAAGTACAGGCGCAGAGCTGGGGATTTGAGAATGACGGGCAGGCCCGAGAGCCAGGTGATTTGCTCTGGGAGCAGGGTCTTGGCGACCTTGAGAATCTTCTTGTCGCGTTTGCGGGCGGCGAGCACGGCGTCTTCTTGTGCGGTGGCGGACGCCGCCTGTGCGCCGTGCTCCCGCAGCGCCTGCAGGAGACGGTCTTCGTGGTTGCCTCGCACGGCGCTCGCATTCAGGGACATGAGGCGCGACAAGACGCCCCGCGAGTCCGGGCCCTTGTTGACCATGTCTCCTAGGGTGATGACGTGGTCGGTTGCCGCGTCGTACTTGGCCAGGTCGAGGAGGTTCCCCAGCTCCGTGTTCATGCCGTGGATGTCGCCGATGACGAGGAGACGGCGGCCGTTTTCGACCGTGGGGACATAGTGCTTGGGCACGCTGGCCGTGAGCGTAAGGTTGGGGGGTTTGGGTCGGCGGTGTTTACTGTTGGAGACGGCTAGTCCTTCGAGTTCCCAGTGCTGCGTGGTGTAGAGAAACGCGAGCATGCATATCGCCACGTTGGCAATGACCACAGCCAAGCAAACGCCGCATTTGTGCCGGGGGACTATCATGACTGCGGTGTTGTGCTGGGGATAGATAGTCCGTTCCAAGTGTTTCAAATCGTCGGTCGAGATGGTAGCCAGCGCGGCGTCACAACATCAAGTTGGCCGCGCTTGTATCCACCGGCCGCGGAGGCTGGCTGGCATAAATGGTAGAGGATAGATGGGGGGTTCAACGCGGCAGGATTTTCCAACGAGGGTTATACTGCTCTTTTGTAAAAAGGAAAGAAATAGGTTTTGTGGGAGAATAGGCATCAAGAGTGAAAATCAGGCGCCAAGACAGATGTCAGCTCGTTTCACAACCTCCATCCATTCAAAGCCTACGGGGCAGCTCACCGAGTACTGGTCACCCCACCCAGGCAAAGAGTCTAAGCCAATTGTAGTAGTACATCAGTTGCTGCTGTGCTTTGACAGTGCTGTTGCAAAAAAAGGGCAAGCTTGACTAATCTTCACAATAATACCACCCCGATATTCAGGGTCGAAAGCTTGTCTTGTGATGTTTAGCTTATTCTCATTTTCTCTGGGGAATCTGCAAATCGGTCATTCCGAATGGAGGCGGGCGGGTTGATGTGATTCGTCGAACTCAGGACCCTTTACCGTCCATCTTCTGCGGCAATACTACCCTACTTTTTGATGTTGCGACAACAGATACAGTGCGACGCACAGTCCGCATTATTCTGAAATAGTCTTAAAACGTATACATGCAAAAATTAGATTTTAGAAATTAACGTTTTTAAACATCTGTTTACCACGGGGTAGTGACTCGGAGGAAAAAGTTACAAAAAAACAACTCCTCTCTGAAAGCATCGTGGAACGATTTTGCTCCCGGCAGGGCTTGAACCTGCGGCCTCCGCATCACTAACGTTTATTAGTACGAAGCTCTAACCAACTGAGCTACGGAAGCTTTCCGAGATGATTTGTTGAAAATCTCGAAAGCACAATCCGTTCAAGAAGGTTATGCACAATGACTTGCATGAGAATGAATTGATATCTGTGCTGTGTGTATGTGTATGTGTATGTGTATGTATATTGCCGACTGAAAACGTGGCATCTGTTGTTGATGTATTGGCAGAGAAAATGTTTCAGAGAATGGTGCAACTCCCGAGGTAGTTTGTTCATATGACATTTCTTCTTGAATTGCAAAGGGCTGAGAATTGGCATATTGTACATCCTAATATACATGTTCTTGTAATTCTTGTAATCCATCCAGTTTGTCCCAGGCACAGCGTGTCCAAGTCTCTGCACAAAGTACCATCTGTACCTCCTTCTAAAAGTGACAAAAAAACTTGAATAAACGCCCTAAACGCCATCCCCATGCAATGTAAATGCCCACGCTTCCTCTCCCCTCTCATTTATTCTGCTGCTGCTGGAGAAGCTGTGCCTGCTCTTCCCGATACTTCTCATTCTCAACGTCCCTCCAGTCCTGAGGTATGGGCTCATTGCCACTCGTCTCCTTGACGCCGCCCGCAAACGCCGGCTTGCCAGCGTACAACTGGTACCCCTTGCCGGTCTCCGCGCCCTCCATGGTCTTGTACGTGACGGGCATGTTTCCGCGGAATCGCTTGCGCATGTCGACCATGCCGCGCTTGCAGTCGCCGTAGCCCTTTTTGAGCTGTTGGCATTTCGTGGGGAGTGTGCTGGCGAGCGGTTCGCGGAGGCAGTCGGATGCCTTGTTGCGTTGGATCATGACGCATTCTGATTCTTGGAGGCACTGCGCGAGTGCGTCGCCTGGAGGTTGCCGGTTAGTTTGCCCATTGGGACATGCGATACAGACGCAGGGGTGTGCGGCTTACGCAGCTCTTGACATGAACTCGGCATTTTGAATTTATCGCATGGGAGAATTGCTGGGTGGCAGTTGGGATGGAAGCTTTGGAGAGGATGGTTCGAATTTGGGGACGCAAAGCAGCTGATTGGACTAGAGGGTGGCAGGGGCCTGACAAAATTATTACCGCAATGAGACTTTGGCGGTCTACCATTTACGCAGTTAGGTCTGGTACTCTACGTGCATGATTTTGGCTACCATGTCGCTCACTCACCACTTACATTCATCCAATGTCGTTCGGCATAAGCAATTTGTTGCCATAGTTGTTTGATTGATATTGTAATCGGATAGCGTAAGGGTAAGGTACCTTATTGTTTATTTTTGTACTTGCTGCCTTGACCTTGGATGTTGGAGTTCAATATTCTTGATGATCCGGCCATCATGCTAAGTTGAAGTCGTGCAGACCCCCGTACGCTCACCCAACACATCTACCAGAAATACAATTGACTAAAAAATCCAAGGAACCGCAGTGTAACCAACTACTCCCACTGCAAATACCCAATCAAGGCCCAATAAACTCGCCCTGACCCGTCAAAGCACAGCATTCAGGGCCATCAAGGCGCATATAGGGTAGCCATTTGGTGGGGTTCTTTTGTTCCAGCTGACCACTTGCAGATCGTTTCCGTCGCATGTGACATCACCATTGACTTTGCGCATCCAGGCCAATTTGCGGTCCACTTCCCCAGAATCTATTTTGCTAACCTTGCCATGTCGGATCTCCTGAACCCTTCACGCGACATGGTAGTTGTGCCATTCCTTTGTGCTGCTTTCATACTTGGTAATTCTGTCTCGCAATAATGCCTGTCCCATTTCTGGGGAGGTTGCATCCGTGAGTGACCCCCAACGGCCTTGCTCATCTCGACGGGATCCGACATCAAATGCGCTAACCCGTGTCTGCTTTAGCTACGAGTATATTGCCCTCGTTGGATCGTTCGTTTTTGTAGGCCTTGAGGCCGTCATTCGAGTGCTTACACTGGCCCTTCGTACATAAAGCCTGCCCTCCTGTAGTTGTGTTGCGACGCTTGCTTATTGTTCTTAGCCTCCTTCGCCGTTTCGTTTTTCTACCTCGTTTCGCGACGTCTATTTAATAGATTTACGACCGAAGAACATAAAAAAGCAGAGAGAAAGAAGAAGAGTAGGTATATACAAAAGACTCGTCTCGGTGACTCATGCTAAATCTTTCAGCGATATCCACGTCTGTCCGCGATGCCCCCGATTTTGTCGAACTTTGCCGTATCTGGGGATACGAGGCCGAAGAACATATAGTGCAAACGAAAGATGGCTATTTGCTGGGAATCCACAGATTACAGTGGCGTCGGGGAGAGGAGGGACAAAAGGTCAATTGCGGAGTTGGGAGCACAAGGAAGCGAGTAATCTATCTACACCACGGGCTTCTCATGAACTCGGAAGTTTGGGTGTGCCTGACGGACGAGCGGAGGTGTCTACCTTTCGAGCTGGTCGAGCGTGGATTTGATGTTTGGGTAAGCCTTCTACATATAAATGTCACCGGTGTCTACCGTCTAACAGAATTAGCTTGGAAACAACCGTGGAAACAAGTATTCGAAGAAGTCAATCCATGCCTCACCGACGACGGTAAAATTCTGGGACTTTTCCATGGATGAGTTTGCATTTCACGACATCCCTGATACCATATCTTACATCCTGGAAACCACGGAACAGACGAGCCTCTCGTATATTGGTTTTTCGCAAGGCACTGCCCAGGCATTCGCCACTCTGGCCATTCACCCCTTGCTGAATCACAAAGTCAACGTGTTTATTGCCCTGGCGCCTGCCATGGCACCCGCCGGCCTGTCCAATGGCATAGTAGATGCTTTAGTCAAGGCCTCGCCCTCGGTTCTCTACCTGATGTTTGGTAGACGGTCCATCTTGAGTTCTGCCACAATGTGGGAGACGTTGTTGTACCCACCCATATTCTGCCATCTCATTGACAGAGGGCTGGGGTTCCTGTTCAACTGGAAGACGAAGAACATCTCGGCCAGCCAGAAACTAGCGGCATACCCACATCTCTACTCCTTCACAAGCACGAAGAGTGTGGTGCATTGGTTTCAGGTAATTCGCAACAAATGTTTCCAGATGTACGATGACGACGTCCACCAGCCGATGAATGTTGCCACGTCGAGAAAGTACTCCAAGGTAGCCAAATATCCGACTCGAAATATTCGCACGCCTGTTGTGCTGGTCTACGGAGGTAGTGATTCCCTCGTGGACATCAAAACCATGCTGCGAGAACTCCCTCCGCAGACCGTAGCCACCGAGATACCACACTATGAGCATCTAGACTTCTTGTGGGCCAGAGATGTCGATTCTCAGGTTTTCCAGCACGTATTTGACGCTTTAGACAGCTTTACAGACGCGGAACACAGGGCAGAGGAATACGATAGGTACTACACGGTGAGAAATGAAAGCTTGATGGGGTCGGCGTTTTCTTTCTTGCATCGGGGAAGTGAAAGCGAAGCATCGACAACGGCTGCCGGAAGCGAGGGGTCGAATGGACAACCGCCTCAGCATGTCGCCCGAGAAGCCTCAGAGCTGACAGAGAATACGTCAAGGAACCGTATTATTGGCCGCGCTGATGGTGTTTGCGACATGACTGACAAGCTAAAGGGGGTAGGTGTCAGGAGAGGGGGGACCAAGAGCGCCGCCAATCCTTGGCAAGACATCGGACCGCTAGACAAGACAAAATGAGTCGTATCCGATCACGAACACGTGGGATCAGGAGGAGGACAGCGGAGGAAAGTAAATACACTCTGACGGTGTCTACATACCCGTCAGCGACTATACATGTAAATAGCAAGAATGCCAAGTACATACATAGAATTGTTTGAAACTGGCTTTGAAAACGGCGTATGCCTACGACGGGTGATGTAGCTTACGTCGTGCATGACGACATGATTACTGTGGCTGTGCTCCACGCCATTGATTACGAGGGTGGGACATGAGAAAAAGAAACACGGTTAGACATTCTTTCCAATAAAAAGATCCACTCTAATGGCAGCAATGCTTTTGATACTACGTATTAGGCAACATCAGACCATTCTCGGTGAAGGCGTCTCGGTTGGGACCATGGCCGAACGGGGAGGTGGGTCACCGGCCGGAGCTGGCAACTATCCCGGCCGGTGGTCGCCGTGATTTTTAAATGCGTGAGATTAACCCCAATAACAAGGGAGACGGAGCGGTGTCGTAGGTGAAGGAGTCGGCAGGCGTATGCATGTCAAGCGAGCGTAGCAGAATGCCTCAGGTTTGTCACAAGTTGCTCCTTTATACCGAGCACAGCATGCAGGCTTGTAGCTGGTCCACCATCTATCAACCCTAACCCTTACCCTAACCATTCTATAATAGTCATTTGTGTCTAATCGTGGTACTAGTGGTAATTACTAAATTTGAGGAGCAGTGCTTCAAGTCTCCGGCCTATAAATGTAGGCCCTAGGCAGCGGCAATTCATCGATTTGGAAGCTTGGGACTCAGCCTCGACCGTAAGCGTCTACACTAACAACTCGCCGCATCAATCGATAAATGGGGATGTTATTGGACATGATGTATAACCATATCGGCACATGGGGTCCAGCCTGTGTTTTGTATAAAAAAGCTTTATAAACGCCATCTCCAGATTGTAGATGTATGTAACCACTGCTAGAGTATCCAAGTATTGCTATGTAGGCAAAGCAATCCAAGCCCTCACTGCCTGTCAATTTGCGTTAGGGCACACAGTCACGTGTGAGGCACCATATCATTGTTGCTACACCGGCCCCTTCTAGCTAGCTCTTTCCCTCTTTGATCATGATCAAGTTTTTCTCTTTTACTAACTCTCTTGCAATACACACTTGTCAAGATGCATCACGAGCTCTTGTGCCTTTATCCCAGACGTCCTACGTGGTCCCTCACGATTTGTCTACTCTGTAACATGGGATTTTGTTAGACTCTAATCCTGTCCGAACCGCAACCCCGTCCCACGATAGTCGACCCACGTGTATTTGAAACCAGGATTACGCTCCTCTTCAGCCGCAAGCACCGAGTGGGAACTCGGCGCCGCAGGTGTGTTCCTGGATTGGATGGGTATGACTCCCGGCTTGCGGCTTGGACCAGGCCCCCAACCTTGTTTAATGGGGGTGGCCTCGTCAACAACTCGCGACGCTCCCCGTGGCAGTCTTGCCGGGGCATTTGCGAGCCGTCAAGGTGGCATCGGGAGAGCCCATCGGCTGCCTGTCCGTCCAACGTGTTCGCCTTCAAGGCTGCTGCCTGACATGTTGCCCGGCTCCCCTGGGCTCGCCAAAACCAGATGTTACCAGAACATGTTCAACCCGGCACGCGGCGATCCACTCCCTACATGCCATCCTGCATCCGAGACACCCGGTGCGGTGAACACGAACGTCACAACCCGGCCTTGACTAAATCCCACAATTAGGATAGGGTTAGAGAAGTTTCAGTGGCCGGACTGAGCTGTTGTTGGCGATTGTTCCGTCCCCGAGCGCCTCTATCTCAACGCTGACGGGCATAGCCTCGCTCGTTGTCACAGTGGAGCCGCGTCGACACGTTTTTGGGACGCAACAACCTTGTAATGAAAAAAAAAGGTGTGTTATCGGATGTCGTCAGCCCTGGTGTATTTCATCTATACGCTTGGCCCTATTTATAGGGGGGTGGTGTTGTTCTCGCCCGACGTTCTTTGGAGCCCGTGCCCGGTTCTGGTCGTAGATCGATCTATGTATTGGCACTCGGTACCGCTCAGCATTCTTTTTGTATTCTTCCCATTTTCCAAACTCGACCAGGTGAATTGAATTCTAGTGACGGCTTTGGAAACAAACACGTCTGGTGGTTCTCGGGCCCCTCGAGCAAAAGCAGCACCAACATGTCCAGCCGCAGCGCCCTCGAAAACGCCCAAATCTTCTGCCGGGACAATCCCAAGAGCCCGCTGTGCAATGACGTGCCTGGCTTCTACGAGTACCGGATCGATCTCGCGCCGAATGCCGCGTTCCTGGGCATATTCGGGGCGTCGCTGGTGGCCTACACGCTCATCCTGATAGTCACCCGGCGCGGCGTGGCCTTCAACGTGGCGCTGATGCTCGGCCTCATCTGCGAGGTGCTGGGGTATCTGGGCCGGATTCTCAGCTGGCACAATCCGTGGGACGAGAACGGCTTCATGATCCAGATATGCTGCCTGACGATTGGGCCGGCCTTCATGGCGGCCGGCTGCTACCTGTGCCTGAGGAGGATCGTGAGCGCCTTTGGGCCGGAGAACTCGAGGCTGCCGCCCGAGTACTACACGCGCATTGTGAGTGCATGTCACGATGGGCCTCAATGTCCTTTCGCTCTGCTAACACGGGTCAACCCGCCCAGTTCATCCCTTGCGACGTCGTCTCGCTCGTGCTGCAGGCCGTGGGCGGCGCCTTGGCCGCGACGGCCGCGCACAACCACGAGTCTGCCAGTCTTGGGTCCAACATTATGATTGCCGGGCTAGCCTTCCAGGTTGCGACGATGCTGGGCTTCATCACGGCCGCGTCCGACTTTGCCCTCCGCACATACCGTCGCTACCGGGCGCAGGGCGCGTCGGCGCTGTCCCAGGACGCCGCGCTGGTGCGGATGCGGCGCACGCTACGGTTCAAGCTCTTCCTCGGCGCGCTGTCGCTTGCCTCGGTGCTGATCCTGTGGCGGAGCGCCTTTCGCGTCGCTGAGCTGAGCGAGGGCTGGACGGGGCCCATCATGGCCGACCAGGGCATGTTTGTCGGCTTCGAGGGCGTCCTCATCGTCGTGGCCGTGCTGGCCTTGAACGTGTTCCACCCTGGCATCTGCGCCAAGGAGCTGTTTGCCGTCGGCGGCGGTCTGAAGGGATGCTGGTGCATGCGTAGGAAGAAGGGCGCTGCGGCAAAGGACGCGAGGAGTCTGAGTGATGGGGAGTCCAAGCCTGCGTATGCCTCTGCGTAGATGGGAGCGTCCGATGTTGTCAGCTACGATGGATGCCTTGTGGAGGCGGGGTTTACTTTGTTTGTTTGTTTCTTTCGAATGGCAAGCATGGCGTTTTGATAGACTAGATGCAAGTCGCACATAGAGACTCGCACGTATAGACACGTAACCAACAATAATGTCGAGACGGAACTTTCTGCGTCAAAGTTCACGCTAGTACCGAGTATTCAACGCCCATATCTACATAGATCCCGAGGGTTACGTGGTGGCTTTGAGTCTTGGGGCCCTCAGGAGCCTACCAGGAGAGCTGAAAGCCACAGTAGCCAGTTTTGCACTTTATTTACAGAACACGAGCCGCATGTAAGCCCTCGTGTTTATCGGCAAGTAGCCCGCCATGCAACGCCTCTTCAACCTGTGGTGGCGCACAATGGGCTTGCAAAACTCGGATAGCCGACCTGTCTTGCAATATCTAGACTGTCTCGCAGCGTCACAGGCGCAGTACTCAAATTCTAGCCTGCATGTTAAGCCAACTCTGGTGATGTCTGGTAGAAATATTCCTCCCCCTAAACGTGGCCGATATGCTGGCCGTCTGATACCCGGGGCTTGACTTACACGACTAACTGTTGCACCGTTGACAGAAATATCTACAGGATCCAGAAGAGCAAGCCATCATCTCCTAGCACAGGCGCCAAGTGCCAGATGTCTCGGTCTTGCAACAGACCGATTGTGGCGGAACTTTGCTCCCGCGGCTCTGTCGAGATATCAAATATCTCATCACGAGAAACCCAACTAAATCCAGTTGCAACAACACGCAATTGGCCGTCGTCAATGCCACGCCACATCAATTACAACACCCACCAGTATTATGCGAAGCTGACGGGCGCATAATATTGATTTCGCGAACATGTAGACGCACGAGCTCGTCTAGTCCCGACTCCTGTATGCAGACGCCAAGTATAAGTAAAACGGCATCGGCGCCCCGATGAAGCCGCGCATCTACAGGAACCAAACCGCGTCCCCCAAGAATCCTTCTCTCAAATCTTGTTGCCTTCCACACAAGGCTCTTTGTTAAACAAACCCACACTCGCTTATACCCCAACCACGTTCATGTTGCTCAAAATGCGCGCCGCCAGCACCGCGCACGCCCTCCTGGCTGCTGCTGCCGCCATCACCGCCGCCCAGGCCGAGACGGAGAGCATCCTGACGGGAGCCGTCCTCTCGACAGAGGCCATCCTGACCGGGGCCACGCTCTCCACCGAAACCGTCTTGACGGGCGTCACGCGGGAAACCTCTGTCCCGACTTCCACCGGGAGCATCCTCACCGGCGTCACCAAGGAGACGTCCGTCCCGGCCTCTACGCAAGGCACCCCGACGGGCGTCACCCTCGAGACCTCCATGTCTGTTCCCGCCAACACGAGCGCCGCCGGGCCTACCGGCGCTCAGACGGGCGTGCCTGTCGCCGCGGCGGCCCTGGGCTCGCAAAACCCCCGGCTGGTTCTGGGCGCTGCTGTTCTCGTGGCTGCGCTGGCGGTCTAGGGCTGCGCATTCATCTTGATTTGATTCGGGGACATGGCCTTTCACGCGACTCATCGCCCGACTGGCGCCCTTTTTGTATCGGATATCGCTGGACATTTGGGAATATACGAATCGTATTTTGGGAATCTGCTGGTTTATCAGTTGATACGTGAATATATAGGTCATTGTTTTACCTGTATGTAAACGGACCAAGAACGTCATGGCTAATGTTGCCGCAGACGGGCCAGCCATACCTCTATGGAGTGCATTCGATTCATCACGATGCAAGGGCCAAGTAGTCTCAAGGACAGTGACATGGTGCAACACTTGGAAATTAAAGTATATTCTTGTTTACTGCCGACTCTCCCCGAAAGCCGCACAAATCTACGTATGCGGGAATCGGGGCCCAAATATAGCAAATACCAGCCGCCCAACAGGCGCGCAGTCAAACCATCTCCCCCAAGTGCTTCGCCCAAACAGATTTCGCCAACATGAGACCCGTTTAAGCTTACTGGGAAAATACGCTGGTTCGACCATATCTTTGTGTGAATGCAGACAATAGCAAAGGTATGAGAGGGTATCGCGAAACTATTACGTCCCAGCACAACGCCAAGTAGTATGCATCATGCAAGGTTTTCGTCAAATAAAGCATCATGGTGGCTTCATCATCATAGGCCACAGTAAATGTTAATGCGCTCGTTTGCGCCGACCAAATGCCCGCTGGAAGGATGATGGTTGGGGTGCGAACATGGGCAAATGCCCGGGTATGCTTACAGGATGTAACAGGGGGAGGTTATACAAATACGTATGGCATGCGCCATCGTATCAATGGTTCGATCCGGCTTGGCTACAGGCTGATGCTACCCAATGGTAGAATCTTGGTCCCATCTCCAATAAATCTGGCCCGGAATTCGACGATACCTTGGCTAATCGTGTTGAAGTCTTTGACTTTACGCGCTCGGAAGTCGGTAAGGAGCTGTTTTAGACCAGCAATGTACTTCTGCTTCTGCTCCTCGTCGTAATGGTCCGCTGCTCCTAGCTGAAGCAGGATCTGGTCATCTGTCCAGTTTGGGCTGTCAGTGCCCAACTCGAGCCATGCTTCTGTTTTGCACGTTTTAGCACCTGTCCGGGGAATTCCACTCACCGGGAGCTTGCATCGTCTCAAAGTGTTGAAACTCGCATTGGCTTCCCCTGGGACATTGCTGTCCAGCCAACTCATCAGGGCAAAGTTCCTTCTTGATATCAATTTTGTTACTGTACGTTATCGACCGCAATCCACCGGCCACATCCTGATTAAACGAGGGGTGGAATCGATAAGCACGGAAGTACTGCAGAGGTGTTTCGTACGGAACGAAGCTCGTCTTTGGAGCGATAAGCTTGCCGTCTTCATTTGCCGACCCTGGCTCTGGCAAGGCAGGGTCGCCCGGGAACGCAGCGGTGGCACCTAATGTCACCGGGCTAGCTTCCACAACTTCCTCAGTCTGGGATAGCATAGCACTGTCTTGCTCCAAGAAGTCATTGTTGCTCGCCACTGCAGATGAATTTGCCTCTGGAGGCTCATAATCTCCCTCAGAATTCTCTTCGACGTCTTCGTCCGCTGAGTAGCCCGCATCTTCCATATTGACATCCTCGGCGCTGTCAGAATGCAAGGAGGAGGATTGAGGAACGTTCGGGAACGTCTCGGTATTCATTTTGTTTGATTCAGGCAGAATTGTTGTGCTCATAATGTCCTCATTGCTCAAGTTTGGTGCAGCCACGCCAGCGCTGGATTCACCCGCGGCAGGCAAGTCACGGGATGGGAAAGAAGCTTCGTCATCAACATCTGGTACATCATCAGGTTGTTCCGGAGCTTGATTTTGCTCGCTTGATCTGGCCGCTGGTTGTTCGCTTTCATCTATTGGATTTGAGCAGGTCGACTCCTGCAAAGATTCAAGTGTTTTTTCTTGTTCTTTGTCATTATGGTTAGTCCTATTTTCCATGATGCATTTTGGGCATATCAACATACCGGAGTCAGATAGATCAACAGGAGCAGAGGTGTCCATCTCGTTGTCCGAGTCTGAGCTTAAAATTTCACCCTTTAGCCTTTCTTCTTCAAGCATATCCTCTTCTAACTCTTGTTCGATCCTCGCGATTTCGGACTGAAGAGCTTTTAGCTTCAGTCGTTGTTTTCTGCGTCGAGCTTCAATCAACGGCAAGCGTTCGCTGGCGGCACGAGAGCGCGAGCGCTGTTCTAAACTTGTCCCCAGAGCTGTCCTCGCCTCATGACCCAGCTCGCCGTAGAACCGTGGAGGTGCTACCGGTCGACCGGCCGTGTCGCACCCATCCTCAAAAGAACTGTCATTCAGCTGAGAGAGTACCGGAGAGCCTTGCCGTGAATTCTTGGCCTTCTTACGAGCCTCGGCCTCGGCAATCTTTCTCTTCATCTCTTCTATTTGCTTATTCATACTTTCCAAGTCGCTGCCATTATTCCTGCTGGCGCTCCTCAGTGGCGTTGAGGCCGATGCAGGGCTTCTCAATTGTCGCGGTATGGAGAAGTCAGGTATGGCTTGTACGTCTCGCAGCATAGCATCCTGTTGATGTGGGGGGTTAGGCATATCCGAAGGAGTCTCTGGCCGACTTGGAGAATCAAGTTCCATTTCCTCATCCCCGTCCTCTTCCTCTTCCGCTTCACTGACGTTGATCAAAAATGGTCGAGATTCCGTGTTCTGATCAAATGCTGGGGCTGGTCGAAGCTGGCTCGGATCGACGGCCTGGAGAGTCGTAGTGGGTTGCTGCATAGTCTGAGGTGGCGAGGTGGCTTGCTTACTCGGTGACCATGACAGCCCTGGAATAACAGTCGCTGAAGCATCGTTCCGCGGAGCGTTAGATCCGTCGTGGCTCGTAGTTTTGAAGAATGCTTCAAGTGTCGAATCGCCCTTACTGAAACCATTCTTATCGTCTACCGGAGTGGGCTTTAGTTGCTTGAGGGCTTCTCGCGCCTTTTTGAGAGCCTCCATTTTCTGCTGTAGCAACTTAGACTTTTCTGACTGTGTCAGGGTTGGCTTGACGTCTGTAGCCACCGCCTTGGCGCTTTTTGGAGCAACTGCGTCGTCTGCCGGTAATGACGCAGGTGCAGTGCCTTGTTTTGAGCCCTTTGCAGCGAGTAGACGGGCGATTCGATCTTTCCGTGACTCAGAGGCGTCAACGACAGCAGGCTTGGGTTTTGCAAGCACGGGCTTCGTAGTTTCGACAGCCAGCGCTTTTGAAATACTCGTCCCATCTGAAGTTGCAGACTCCTTCTCTTCTGGCTCTGACGTCATCCTGGTGGCCTCGGTGAAGTTGAGCCCTAAGTCCTTGAAGAGCGATTTGAGAAGTGCTTCGTCAACACCTTCCGAAACATAGTTGTTGAATCTTATATTTAGTGGCCATAATCGAAGAATAGCATCCTTTGCCTGCTTCTTAGACGCTTCCAAATCCGAATGATTCATGGACTTGGTTTGACTGGGCGTGGGAGGCAGAACATCCCGTACATCGATAGGCGCTGACGATGCCACCTCGCTCGCGATAAGTTTATCGCCTGCCGCATTAGTTAAGAGACGATACGACACAGCTTGCATTGCGTGATTACAATAAGTACCTGTAAAATAGTCCAATAAGCCGTCTCCGGGTTGTGAGATTTCATGGGGCGACAAATACGGCGAATACGAACCTGACCGTTCGCGGCCGTCGACTGGTTCGTACCCGACTTGTCTTTGCTGGTGTGTTTGACTTGTGCCAGCCGCATCTTGTTTAGTTTCCATCGGTTCATAGACATCCTCGAGCTCCCCATCCTCGCTGACCCCGCCATCTTCTAACGGCTTTGCTGGTGTCCCGCTTAGTCCCGGTATGCTCGTCACGGGTTGGCTTTTCGGCAGGACTTGCGTATTTTCTTGAGAACTCTGATGAGATAGCGATTCTACCTGCCAGCTTGGTGGATGTCCATGTGACCAGGAGCCATGCTGTGTTGAACCGACAGTGTGCGTTCCTAACCCCAAGCCAGGGATCAAATTATGCCCGTAACTAGGGCCGGATGCGTTCTCTGGTATAGATGGTTGACCTTGTGAGGCAGCAATCAAAGTGTTCAGTGCAGGAGTGTAGGCGGGCTGAGAGGTGTGCGGAAATCCTTGATGGAGGTTATAACCATCAGGCGGAACGTACCCGTACCCATGCTGGCTCATCTTCTGGTAGGCCTGTACATACCACTGTGCTGTGCGACTCTTCTGACCCGCTTAAGGGCTAAGAACGAACTCTGACGAGGATCACAGCTGTCTGTGCAAAGGCCGACTGGGTGAATGCGTCTCCGAGTTCTAGTAGCACTGGAACGATGTTGCGACCCGTGACGTACCGACGCGTGTCGCGTCAAAGGCTGCGAAATATGTCTTGACAAAAGGCGCGAACAAAGAGCCCCATCAAAGACTCCGAGCGCACTTTCCACAGTCTTTCTGCGTTTGCGCAAACTCACTCTTTGTTGTCGGACGCGACGACTTTGGGTTGCAAGTATTTTTGGAGGTTGAGCTTTGCGGTTAGATCTAAGCGCTGGCAAAGAAGCGCTAGTCTGGAGTTGGGCCTGGCTCCACAAGACACCACGCTAGCCGAGAAAGAAGAAAGTCACGTGCCACAGTTTGTTTACTTGGGAGGGGTCTCGCCCCAGCAACGGCAATTGTTGTAGTATATCATTCCCAGCTCTACTCTACACTAGCAAGCTGGAAAATGACGAGCCTGTTCACGCCATTCTAATTCCGTCTCTACTTGTTCACGGCGCGCTGGTGCTTTTAGTTGTTCTTCTGCCCTGCGATCCACGTGTTCTGCGGTGGACCTGTATTATCTACTCACTCTTTTTTTCTTGCGGCCAAGTTTGTTTACGCGCATATGATTGTGTAGGTTGGGGCGGAGTATTGATGCATATCAATAAAGCCGGCGTTGATGTTTCTCGTTGACAATGGCTTTCAACCTGAATAACTCGGCACAACGCCGTAGCAATCCCTTTACTCGAACCGGATCTCCCTCTCCATCATCACCAACCCCTCTCAACCGAAGCAGACCAAAATCTGCCCTGTTTTCTTCACCACCACCGCCGAGTGTGTCAACACCATCGCCTCATGGCCGGTCGCAGTCCAACAGCTCATATGGGACGTCGTTGGTCGCGACAGGAAACGCAGCCAGACACCATAGAAACGAGTCGAGAAATGGAACGCCCACTTCGAATACGTTTGCACCTTCGTTTATTAAGTTGGAGGAGATGAGACGAGAACATGACACGGTAAAGGGCATCGAAGGGGAGAATGACTTCTCTGGTAAACGCTATGTGTGGGTTAGGGATTCACAACATGCATTTATAAAGGGATGGGTTGTCGAAGAGCTGGGCAATGGCCGCATCCTGGTGCAAACAGATGATGGAACTGTCAGTTTATCAAACTTTGCGTCAACGAAGAAGGAAGTAGCTAACTGAATGACAGCAACGGGAACTCGACGCCGAAAGTGTCGACAAAGTTAATCCTGCCAAGTTCGATAAGGCAAACGATATGGCCGAGTTGACCCATTTGAACGAGGCTTCAGTCGTCCATAACCTTAAAATGAGGTATCAATCAGATTTGATTTATACATACTCGGGACTCTTCCTCGTTACGGTCAATCCTTATTGCCCATTACCTATTTATACCAATGAGTACATCAACATGTACAAAGGCAGAAGTCGGGAAGATACCAAGCCACATATTTTCGCCATGGCTGACGAAGCCTTCAGAAATTTGGTGGAAGAGGGTCGAAATCAGAGTATCCTAGTAACAGGTGAATCCGGCGCTGGCAAAACGGAAAATACCAAGAAAGTCATCCAGTACCTTGCGGCCGTGGCCCCATCCGAGACTTCTGTTCGAAGCAAATCGCAACACACCAATCTCTCACAACAAATTCTCCGAGCAAACCCTATTCTAGAGGCATTTGGAAACGCGCAAACGGTTCGAAATCATAACTCTTCGAGATTCGGAAAGTTTATCCGCATTGAATTCAACAGAAATGGAGCTATTGCCGGAGCATTTATTGATTGGTATCTCCTTGAAAAATCACGAGTTGTTCATATCAACCCCCATGAGCGGAACTACCACATCTTTTATCAGCTTCTGAAGGGCTCCAGCAATCGCGTCAAGAGTGATTTGCTTCTGAGCGGACTGGATACCCAGAATTTCGCGTATACAAGAAACGGACACGATACGATTGTTGGCGTGTCCGATAAAGCAGAATGGGACTTGTTGATGGAAGCGTTCGATGTGATGGGTTTCTCTGACGATGAACAACTATCGATTCTTCGTACAGTTGCAGCAGTGTTGCATTTGGGCAACATCGAGGTCGTCAAGGAAAGCCGCGCGGCTGATCAAGCACGATTGGCGCCAGAGTCGAAACAAGTGGTAACAACTGTGTGCAAACTTCTCGGTGTGCCAGTAGATCCTTTTATTCGAGGACTGCTGCACCCGAAGGTCAAAGCCGGACGAGAGTGGGTTGAGAAGGTCCAAACCCCGGAACAAGTACGACTTAGTCTAGATGCCTTGTCCAAGGGTATTTATGAACGAGGATTTGGCGATCTCGTCTCTCGAATCAACCGCCAGCTTGACAGAACAGGCATGGGACTTGATGATTCGCACTTTATCGGTGTCCTCGATATTGCTGGCTTCGAAATCTTCGAGGAGAATAGCTTCGAACAGCTGTGCATCAACTACACCAATGAGAAACTTCAGCAATTCTTCAATCATCACATGTTTGTCCTTGAACAAGAGGAATACGCACGCGAACAGATTGAATGGCAGTTTATTGACTTTGGCCGAGACTTGCAGCCAACAATTGATCTTATTGAGCTGCCAAATCCAATCGGTATCTTTTCTTGTCTCGATGAGGATTGTGTTATGCCAAAGGCTACGGATAAGACTTTCACAGAGAAGCTGCATTCACTTTGGGATAAGAAATCCACCAAATATCGACCTTCTCGCCTTGGACACGGCTTCATCCTCACACATTACGCTGCCGAAGTGGAATATTCCACCGAAGGCTGGCTGGAGAAGAACAAAGACCCACTGAATGATAATATCACACGTCTGCTTGCCTCTTCGTCCGACAAACACGTTGCTGGCCTATTTTCCGACTGTGCTGCAGCAGATGAGGATATTGGTGGCAGCCGAAGCCGAGTAAAGAAGGGACTGTTCCGCACTGTTGCCCAGAGACACAAGGAGCAGCTTCACAGTCTAATGACTCAACTTCATTCAACACATCCTCACTTTGTGCGATGTATTCTACCCAACCACAAAAAACGGCCAAAGCAGTTCAATAATCTTCTCGTTCTCGATCAGCTACGCTGCAACGGTGTTTTGGAAGGTATCCGAATTGCTCGAACAGGGTTTCCCAACAGACTTCCTTTCACGGAGTTTCGCCAGCGATATGAAGTGCTCTGCTCAAATATGCCTACAGGTTACCTTGAAGGCCAAGCTGCTGCGACAATCATGCTGGAGAAGCTTGGCCTCGACAAAACACTATATCGTGTCGGCCTTACAAAGGTGTTCTTCCGGGCAGGCGTTCTAGCAGAATTGGAAGAGCAGCGCGATGCCCTGATCACGGAGATCATGGCCAGGTTTCAGTCCGTTGCCAGAGGCTTCATCCAACGACGTGTCGCATACAAGAGGCTTTTCCGAACTGAAGCCACGAGAATTATTCAGAGAAACTTCAACATATACCTGCGCCTAGTTGAAAACCCGTGGTGGCAACTCATTGTGAAGATGAAACCCTTGCTGGGAGCTACTCGTACTGCAACCGAAGTTAAAAAGCGAGATGCCATGATCAAGCAACTCAACGAAAAGATGCGACTTGACGAAAAAGTGCGGCAGAAGTTGGAAGATGACCGTCGCAATACTCATACGGAGATGGTTCGAATCCAGCAGACACTGGAGAGCGAGCGTGCACTTGCATTGGACAAAGAGGAGATCTTTAAACGACTGCAAACCCGTGAGGCCGAGCTTGAGGAGAAGCTTTCTGGTGCCATTGATGACCAAGAGAGACTCGAGGACCAACTTGATGAACTCATGGAAGCCAAGAGTCGAGCAGAAGAGGACGTCGAAAAATTCCGACATCAACTCGAACAAGCTGCAGGGCTAATTGCTAAGCTGGAGGAGGAAAAGAGCAAGTTGTCAGCAAAGTCTGTAGAACTGGAGAACGCGGTCAAGGAAATCTCCCGGAAGCAGTCTGAGCGCAGCGAGCAAGAGGCCGCCCTTGCCGATGAGATTAAGGTCCTTCAAAGCCAATTAAGTGTCAAAGATCGCAAGGTACAAGATTTGGAAGGCAAACTGCTTCAGCTGGACCAAGACACGGAAGTAAAGTTGCGTGCTGCTCAAAAAGAGGCGGAAGCCGCCAAATTGCGAGAATCCCGTCTTAGTCAAGAGAACAAGGATGTAAAGCACCAGCTCTCCCAACTCTCCAAGACTTCAACTGATTATGAAGATTTGGTTAGAAGCAAGGAGAGCGAGTTGGCTCTGCTCCGCAGCGACAAGAGGAAGTTTGAGACTGAGCGACGTACTCTGGAAGACCAGAAGAAGGCACTGACGGAGGAAAAGAACAGAATCTCAAGCAGGTCTCACGATGTTCAAGCCGAGTTGGATGCAATGAAGTCTAAGCACTCCCAACTCGAACGCGAGGCTGAGGAGGCCAAAACGCTGCTTGCTGCTAGGCTCTCAGAAGATGCCCAAGCGGATAAAAACAGGTCACTCCTAGAGGCTCAAATCAAGGATCTCAAAGAACAACTCTACACTACTCAAATGGACCTAAGCCGAGAACGACAATCGCGCGATGATGTTCTGCTTCTCGGAGAACACAAGTACCAAAGCCTCAAGGATGAGTATGACAGTTTGAATGAAGCAAAGATTGTCATTGAAAAGGAACTTTATGTTCAGCAGGACACTTTACGGAGAGCCATGGAAGCACGCACCGCAGTTGAGAAAGAGCGAGACGAGGCACGGGATGAAATCCGTCGACTGCGGGTGGCCAAAACGCAGGCTGAAGAAGCCCGTGTGCAAGCTGAAATCTCTGGCGAGCGTCAGGCTTCCAAGATGGCTCAAGAAAGAGAGCTCAGCCTGCGGAAGGACTTGGATGCTGCACATGATCGATTGCGGTGGTTTGAGGATGAGTGCGCCAAGCTCAACCACGAAATCGAGGATCTTAACAAACTGATTGCATCTTCGGGCGAGTTTGGACTGAAAAACGACCAAGCAAAGGAGCGGATGGAACGAGAGCTCAACACTGTCAAGAGCCGACTGGCTGCTTCTGAAAATGACAATAGGGCGCTTCTCAATAAGCTCCAGCAAAAGGGGCTCGAGATCGCCAGGTCCACCTCCCGTGCCAATGAAGCCTCTCGCGGTCATATCATCAGTCTGCAAAAGGAGAAGTCCAGGCTAGAAGAACAAAACGCTAATTTGAACAAGCAGCTTGGCGATGCCCAGGTGACAATCGCAACTTTGGAGAAGAAGACGGAGAAGCTTCAACTCAATCTCGAAGATCTCAACCACGAGGTTGCGCGGGAAGTCCAGTCCAGCAGAAATGCAGAGAAAGCTTCGTCTAACTTTACGGTTCAGCTTGCAGAGGCCAACAGAACCATCGATTCTGAACGTCAGCTGCGCACACAGTCACAAGCAACTGTTCGTACGCTACAGGCTACTATAGATGCCAGAGACAAGGAGCTCCAAGAGCTACGCGGACAAATGCTCAATGCCCTGCGGTCTGTCGACCCGGAAATCCGGATTCCTCCTCCGTCAGATGACAGCAATCAAAAGGCCCTCCTCAAAAACTTTGATCTGGCACGCAAGGTCGAGGAGCTTCAGCAGAATCTCCGTGTTCAGTCAGCTGCTAGGACCAACGCAGAAAGCCAACTCGCAGATCTTCGTGCGACACGACACGAGAGCCCCGGTCGACCCAAGTTGGAAGAGATTCACCTTAACGAGGCACCCTTCAACGGTTCTCCTACGCAGCGACGAGCTGCTAAGATCAACACCCGGCGCTTCTCAAATACCTCGACACCCAGAAAGGCAAATCAGGACATCACCGAGCAACACGATACAGCCCGCTCAGACAAGACAGTCGACACACTGGCGGTCAACAATCGCATGGACCTAAAGGCCGAGGTTGAAGAGCTTCAAAATCAGCTTCAGATTACTCAGATGCAAAATCGCCACCTCCAAAGCCAGATTGATCGAGGCACTCCTGGTCCCGATTCCTACAATGACCAGAGCCCCTCTCTGCGTCGGATGCAGAAGCTGGAAAAGGTCAACAGTAGGTTGCACGAAATGCTCGATGATTCGACAAAGAAGGTGTCTGCTCTCGAAAAGAACATCCGCACAGGCGAGTTGTCGCTGCGCGATGTACAGGCTAGATCGCACGAAGAAATTTTGGATGTGTTTAACAGTCAAGAAGAGTCACGACGTGCGCTTTTGCACAGCCACAAGGACGCTGTTGCTGAACTGACAGACGTGAAATCCCACTTTGACAAAATGCGTCACGAGAGAGCGAAACTCGAGGTTGAGCTGCGGGACACAAAGTCTGACCTGCAGGAGATGGCAATGGCTCGCGAACAGGAAGCACAGAGCCGCAGCCAGCTTCTGCAAGAGTACACCGAACTGCAGATACGGCTTGACGCCGAGACTTCCAAGCTGGCTGACGTGTCGGGAAGCCTTGAGGTGTACAAGAGCCGGGCAGATGAGTACTTTGGCAAGCTTGAACAGGCAGAAATCGCCGTGCTCAAGGCCAGCCGAGCTGAACAATTCGCCAAGTCACAGGCAAAGGAATCAGAAGACACATACAGTGAGGTGATGGCAGAGCGCCAAAAGATGGATGCCACGATTGAAGACCTCCAGCGTCAGAATCAGCGCCTCGAAGAGCGTATTGAGGACATTTCTACCGATCTCGAGTCCGTCACACAAGCCAAGAAGAGGCTTCAGCACGAGCTGGAGGACTACCGCAGCCAGCGCGCCATGGACATTGAGGACAAAGAGTCGAGCATGGAGCAGACACGAAAGAAGTATCAGGCCGAGTTTACCACCCTGACCAAGGAACTAGATCTCGCTCGCGAGGAGAAGCTGTACAAGCAGGCTGAGATTGCGCGACTTCGCGAAGAGCTGGACGAACTACGTTCAAAGTGGGATGATGAAGTCCTCAACAGCTCTACTTGGTCCAAAGAGAAGTCTCGTCTCGAGGCCACGCTTGCCGATGTTGCTTCGTCTCGTGATGAAGCCGTCAGTGCCCACAACGAAGCCCAGGGCAAGGTTGTATCACTCCTATCTCAAGTTCGAACGTTGCGATCCTCGGTGGACGAGGTTACCTCTGAGCGCGATCTCTTGCTACGCGAGAAGCGAAGTGTGGAAGCTCGGCTTGAAGAGGCCAAGGCCGGCCTAGAGGAGCTTGTGAAGGGTGAAAGCCCATCTCTGCGTGATGCTGCGATATTGGACAAGGAAGTCCTGGACTTGAAGTCTAGCCTTGCTCACCAGGAGGATGTCGCTGCGGCGGCGGTCGAGAAAATGAGGCGCGCAGAGGCCCTCGTTTCTGATGTGCAAAAAGAGATTGCGGCCGAGCGCGAAGCCAGCACCGAGTTGCAAAAGCAGAAGGCTGTCCTCGAAAAGAGTTTGAATGAAGCCCAGTTGAAACTGATTGACTTGGAGACAAAGGGCTTTTCTAGTGCCAGCCAAGACATTAAGTTTTTGCATAAACGAATTCAAGAGGTAAGCCGCTTCACGCAGATGCACCCACCCAAACTCATAAGACGTGCTAATTCAAGCTGCAGCTCGAATCTCAACTGGAGGACCATGAGACAGAGCGGTCCAAGTCTCAGCGGTCGAACCGAAATATTGACCGCACTGTCAAGGACCTTCAGTCGCAAATCGACCGTAAGGAGAAGCAGAATACGCAGCTCTCGGAGGACGTGAACCGGATGCGCGACAAGGTGGACAAGCTTCTAAAGACGATTGACGAACTCCAAGCGTCCGAGTCGACAACGCAGCTTTCGGCTAGACGAGCGGAGCGAGAACTCCGAGAAGAAAAGGAGAAGGCTCTGCGTTTGGAGAAGGAACTCGAAGGGTGGAAAGGACTACGGTCAGAAAAGGCGTCTGCTGTTGGGAGCCTCCGCGGTCGTCTCGATGGACCCGATGTGCCCAACAGATCGAGTAGCATTAACAGAGCGCCTAGTCTTACGAAAGGATTTATTTGATGAGGGAGGGGAAAGGGAGGGGGAGGCATGTTTTTAACCGGCGTTTGTGCATTGGTTCTGGGTTCAGCGCGCTACTGGCGAATGGGAAGAATAGGGTTTTAATGACATGTATGTCAAAAGGTGTTTTTATGGTTACGCAGTACAGTGTCATATGATTGAAGGTACATAGGTTAATAAGGTTTCATTGTCTTAACGCCGAGTGCTCCTAATCTGAAGGGTGTAAAAGGGATAATGCAGTTGATTGAATTGCAAGAGTGCATGCTCAAATATCTGGATAGAGGGCTGCTTCGTACAACAAACAACCAGCACCTCAATGAAGCAAGCACGCCATACTTGTAGCTGAAATATTAAACAAGCAATAAGGGCAGGAAAAAAACGCAGTATTACTGTCAGCAGAAACAGCTCCCTCTTCCGCTAGCAAACCGCTGAAAGACAGATGGCCCGATGTTAAAATAGTGCCATCTACGCCGTACTCCGTACCGACATATCCAACCAACCACAACAACAAACACCCAGCGTGTGTGTTCCAAAACCAGCGCCAGCCAGAACAGAAACCAAGACCCGGCCACGCAAATCCACGCTGCAAAAAAAATACAATGTCGGAAAAAAGAAAAAAAAAGATGATGGTGAAACGCGGAAAGAACCGCGGCGGGTCTGGCCGGGGATTGAACCCGGGACCTCTCGCAACTTTGCTTCAGGGTTATCCCTAAGCGAGAATCATACCACTAGACCACCAGACCGTTGACCGGGAGTGCCCCGGCTTGCTGTGACGATCAGAGCGTTATTTGCAATTATACGGGGCGGCGTTTTTCATTGGACGTTGTCGTGGCGTCCGAGTCGGCGTGAGGTCGGGAGTCGCCTGGTTGCAATAATGTTCTTGATGTACTCCAGTCCGTAAGTGCGGCTTGACTTGGCGTAGTGCAGTTTGTTGGCCGCGGTCCACGGCTGGCTGCTTGTCTTTGGCGTTTGGCAGGTGCAACTGCCGTGACTGTCGGGGCGGTCGATGCGTTTGCCACGGAGTCATTTAGCGCCCTGGTGTACCGTTTGTGGGCACAACATTGAAGTGTTCGATGGCCCAAGTGGCGTGGAATAGTATCTCCAAAGGCGTCGAATTTATGAACCCCCCGCAGCAGTATTGGTAGGTGGAAGAGATGGATTTCCCTGGTTGGCATATTGACAACACGTACCACCTGTTTGATCTGTTGGCGTAGCACTGGGGGACGTGAGTGCCACCCGGTTTGTAAGCCGTAGCCGATTGGTGACGACCCATACGGAGTACGGCTAACCTGTACATGACCTGCACCTGACGTCTTGATCCAAGCGTGGTGATGACTATCCCAGGGCACGAGCAGTTCCACATGTATGTATTCTAGATGTTGTACCCGATTTACAATTCGTGTTTCTCAGGCCTGAATTTCAATTCGAGCCGGCTACAATCTTGCTACCGTACGATACAGATGTCACTTCCCTTTGCAAAGTCGAACCGCCTCCCGGCGATGCGGCCTACGCGTGCCGTCCGCCCTGGCCAACCTCACCACCCGTCTTGAGCCCCTGGCTCTGACCGCCGCTCGCATTCGCGCCCTTTATCCCGGCGCCCTGCTCCCCCAGACCTTCCGGCAGGTCGGCCGTCTTCTCCGCCCTCGGCACCTTGGACGTCTGCCGCCACTTGTTAGTGGGGGGAAACTTTTTCGGCATCGCAAGGCATAAAGAAAAAGAAAAAAAAGGACAAGAACTTACGTCAGCGGATCCTACGCCGTGGGCGATATTGTGACCGGCTTCCTCGAAAGGGCCGTTGTGGCTTGAGCCGTCTCCGGGACGAGGCATTGTGCGTGATGTTAGAGAATGTGGTTGATTTCTGGTGTTGGACGTGAAGTAGGAAATTCTTGGCTTTTGACTATGCCGCAGCTTAGTGTGCAATGCCGATTGTCACAAAGAGACGGGGTCATCGCCATTCTGCACATTTATATATCCCACCACAGGCTTGCAACGCTGCCGGCGACGACGTCATCGTCCATGACACTCGTGGCGTCACCATCGTGGGGCGAGTTTCCTCACCAGGAAGCCGTGGCCATCATCGCTGGCCCGCGCTGGCAGCCAACATGTGGGGGATCGTTTTTCCTGTTTTCTGTGACGTGGTGGACGTGGTTTCTGCAGCAGTTTTTCTACTCTGGTTGCGGGGGACGTCAGACCCAGGCTAGGTAATTCCTGCACATCGACAGCCCAACAGCCCGCCGCGGCACTAGTATTCATGTAGTTGAAGAGACCTGGCTGAGCTCCGTCTTCTTCATGCCGTCCATCGTTTCCGCCCGTCAATCCAAAGACCCTGCCAAAGCCACAGCGCTAAACCTCAAATCACCGCCCTCCCGCTCCAAGAACCTCAAAATGCCCATCCCCAATGCCCTCTCGCTCAGCATGTCCTCGTTCTCCTGCAGCTCTCCCCTGCGAATCGGCCCCTTTCGACGCCCGTCCAGCTCCCACAAGGCCCCGTCGCTGCCCTTGACGAAGCAGACGTAGTGCAGGTCCACGTTGTCCTGCGCATCAGGCGCAGCTGTGTCTCCCGCCGAGGCGGCTTCCTTGTGGGCAGCCGCGACGGCAGGTGTCTTTTCGAGGAGAGATGCGCGCTCGCGCGGAGGGAGCGGGGTGGATTTCTGGAGGAGCTCGTCCAGCGTTGTGCCCTGCTCTGAAAACACACTGTTAGCAAGCTGCCTTGGGGGGGTTTCCAGAGTACATGTAGCGCTTACCGATTAGCGTCCTGGCAGGACCGTTCGAGACAGCGTGCAGCAGACCCATCATGCCGCACGCATTGCGGATGGTCTGCTTCCACCAGATGACGGGTTCCTGCTCCCCGGCGCCCTTGTACTCGTCGACGGTGTTATCTTCTGCCATGCGGTGGCTCTCGTAGACTGCGGTTATAGGGAACACAAGGAGGAGAGCTAGCGCGGGACGGGGGATGAATGCGAGCATGTCTGGGTCGGTGAGGGAGTAGACGTCGTGGAGCTGGAGGGCTTGCGAGACGCCCAGCTTGTGGATGAGCTTGGTCATGAGCTCGGGGTTGGCTTCGAGGGGAATAAAGGCTGGAGCGCCTTGCTCCGGGTCTGGGTTTGTTGTGGTGGACATGGTATCGCTGTGTGGTTTAGGGGAGTCGTCGCCTTGTCGATTGGATGAGAAGGTTGCTGCATGTGAAGTCGTCAAGTACGCTTGATTCTGACGTGAAGAAGATGGAAGGTTCCGTCCGAGGATCTAGAAAGCTCCTGCTTGCGTGGCGGATAGTGGGGGCTCGGGAACCTGGGGAACATTGAACCTTGGCTGCATGTGCATTTATGACGTCGCCGCTTGTCGCCTGTCGCCGGCTCTGCCAGCTCCACGGCTCTAACTGCTCTCTGCGGCAAAATGTCAACGGTACAACCCTGAGAAACTACTGCACACTACTCTACTGACAAGAATCTTTGCTATTCGCTTACCGGCCCGTCTCTGCAGGACGGCGCCTATAAACTACAAACTTCACGTACAGCAACTCACTCACATCGCCCCAGGGAGGCGTACCAAACCAACAAGAGCAACACCTTGATCTCCTCACTAAGTCAAGGTCAATCCTCTGTCCACAAGCATCAATCATTACATAGCGACTGCCGACTTTTGATACAATTACATAGCCACGACTCTGAACCACATCGCCTGACCAAAACTCACAACAACCGCTAGCAACTTTGAAACCAACTCCGACACTATCCATCCGCTACTCAACAACAGGCTCTACCTACCTCACACCGTAAAAAAGGGCAATTTTCAGCCACATCAGGCGCTTTGATAAACAACCAAAGGCTTAAGCCTTGCTTGAGCGACTGGTTCGACGTCCCTTTGCCTTTGGCGCAGGCTTCTCATCAGCCGACTCATCAGCCGTCACCTTCGCCCCTGATTTACGACTCGACTTTCCTGTCACCTTGGCGCCAGCGGTTTTGGTTGCCTTCGGTGTTGCCTTGGACTTCTTAGCCGACACTGGTGCCTCTTCCTCCTCCTCCTCATCACTCTCATCCTTGACGGCAGCCTTCTTGCCTCGTGCAGTCTTGGTGGAAGCAGACTTGGACTTCTTTGTAGATACTGGCTCTTCTTCTTCTTCTTCTTCCTCCTCCTCCTCCTCGTCTTCGTCGTTATCACTCTCATCCTTCACAACCGCTTTCCTGCCACGGGAAGCCTTTGCGGGAGTAGCTTTATCACCTTTTGCCGATTTGGCGGTCTTCGCTGACTTGGGCTTTTTGGCCTTGGGCTCATTGTTTTCGTCGTCGTCGGCGTCCTTCTTTCGACCGCGCTTGGCCGTTTTTTTCGCTGGTTTAGCATCTTCGGAGGCCTATCCATTATTAGATTTGAGACCATCCTCTATGGCAACACGGAGGCCTACCTCTTCATCTTCGGCAGCCTCGGCGGCGGCCTTCTCTTTGGCTGCCCTCTGCTTGGCAGTCAGGTGAATGCCCTTCTCGCCTAGCTTGTTCTTCTCAGGATCCTTCGTCGCGCCAGTCAGCAGGGTCCCCATCCGGTTTATGACAGTTCGAGGAACATACACCTTTGAAGTCTTCAGGATCAATAAAGCCTTGCTTCACGCATCGGCGGACCTTTTCTTGGACTTCTGGGTCGCTACAAAGGTCGAACATCAGTCTCTGGTGCCTCGCCAGGGAGATAGCCTAGGGACCAAGAATACTAACCCCAACTCATCGTATCCATCAATGGCATCAAAGTCATACTTGCCATCACCAGTATCACATGCCTCTTGGAGATGGAGAAGCTGCGCTCCAGAGACGCATCCCCTACGGTATGGAAGCTTTGTCAGTGATGCTGCAATAGGCGGCTGGATGTTTGCTACGCGATGGAGATTTGAGAACCACTTACCAGTGTTTCCAAGCCCAGCTCCCATGCTCATTAATTTCTACCCAGCTGCCGAAGCGAATCTCACCCTTGAGAATCTTTACCTTTTCCTCTTTGCAGACAGTGTCTTTGCAACCTGCCCGGTTGTTGGGTGAAATTTCTGCACCAATGTAAGCGTGTGTCATGGAGCAGAGAGCTTTGAATAGCGGTGGTCCAGTCATACCAATGCGATATTGAGGCATGGCGTTGTAAACGTGATTCAATGGACGTGTCACGTTTTGCGCCGCGTTGCTTCAGATGTCAGATGTCAGGCTCCGCGGACAGCACGCTAGACAGTGTCTCGCTGGAAGCTTAGCTCCACCTGATGATGCTTGTAGAAAACGGTTTGGCTCACATGCGACCGGGAGCAGATGGAGGATAAGCTGATGAGATGGATCGGGAGGGAGAGGTTGATGTGGGATGAAGAAGAAAAAAATCTAGAAACAAGGCTGTCGCAATGTACCCAAGGAGCGAGCGCGCAGAGGCAGGCGTTGCATGTCGACCGGTAAGTAGGCTGGCAAACTGGGCTGATAGGGAGGGTGCGGTCCCTCACTCCTTGGTTGCAGGCAGGAGCTGGGGGGAGCTTGGTGGCACCTGCCTGCTCGGCACTTGCCTTGCCCTGCCCGTCAGTCGCGTGTTGTCGCGCGTTGCCCAAACCGTTTGCAGAACCTTGCAGAACCTGCAGACCTGCGCAGCCGCCGTGCTTCAGATGCAACATTTTAATCTCCACCGTCGGTCGCTGAGCACACCGCATCACAAGTCACGGCTCGTGTGTTTGATGCCATCATTAATGTTCGCATCAATGCGCTTCGCAGAACTTACAGCCACCCCAATCGACAGGTCATTTCTCAAGTTCAAACACTGTCCCTTTAAACCTCGACGTAAAACGCTAATCTATGCCCACTTCGCCCCGAAATGATCCCAGTACAACTACAAAAATGGACACCATCCGATATACATGGCTGTCAGATTCCTTGGATCAACAGCCTGCTTGATGAGTTCTTCCACTTGACCTTCCACGCTCAACGGAATGTTCTCATTCGGCAATAGCCCTCTGACTTTCCTCTTGATGCTGTCCACCACGCTTTGCGGCTGCAGCCTCACACTCACATCCCCTCTCCTGGACGATTTCTTTTCCTTTTGTAAATCGAGTGTTGGATCATATATGAACGCCTCCAGAATTGTCATCAGCGTTTCCTCCTGTTGCCGCAGAATGCTCAGTGTGAGCTCCGACGATTTTCTGAATGGCCCTTCGTATCCGTATATACCCATTGCTGCAACCATATTGTGCGTAAGGCGAAACGGGACCCGTTCAGGCTTGGCAAACGTCAAGCCTTTGTCGAACAAACAATTAAAGTCCACGTGGAATATCCCGCCGTTACCTTCCTCCAAGTTGACGTTTTCACCATGCCGGTCACCTAACCCTAGAATTGTGCCAACCATGGACATGACGGCACATGACCGGGTGTATCCGAGTCGAGCAGCAAACCACGCAGACGGATTGGGGAACTGCTGAATAAACCACAACGGCAGCAGGGGCGGGAATCGTCCCAATACATCGTCGGTGAAGATTCGGATTTTGCTCTCAGATGCTGATGCATCCTCCATCAATTGTCTCAATGCCGCATAGTCGGGGTGAATTTTCTGCGACGCGTACAAGTTCAACAGAATATCTCTCATCGTCTTGATACCTGGAACCCACTCAATAATGCCACACTCCTCGTTTAACGGAACAACAGCATACGTTCGAATATACAGCTGTCGCCTGCTGGACTCCGCATCTCGTTTCAGTGACCGATTGATGATGCCGTTAAACTCCATAAGACGCTGGTCAGTTCGAAGATCGTCTTTAGGCTTGATCAACAACATGTAGCTCTTGCCATCGGACCCCCTGGCAGTCAGACGTCTCGGCTTTGCAAGGGAGCTCA